CCAATCATGGTTGTGTTCGGATAAGTTCGGATAGTCGTTGTCGTCGACATCACAATCTTCCTCTTTCTTTCCACAAAAATAGCACCATCTTCCGCGACATCGTTCACAAACCATATGCGTACAATTATCATCTTTGATACCAGCCAGTTCACAATGAGGACACTGTCTTAGAGAACCGGTTTCAATGGCTTTCTCAATCAGTTGTTTGCAATAGCGATATTGAACGCAACGAGATCGATGCATTAATTCATCAATATCATCTTGCACAGCATTCAGACATATTAAACATGATCGTTTACCACAATCAGGATGTTGACAGGCGAGAAATTGAACAGGACACGCGTCAGTAGTGTGGATTTCCAGATAAGGACAAAAAGGACCTGTTGAAAATTAATTCATCAAGAGCACAGTCTTAGTCAGTTTGAACTTTTTTTAAAAGTACTTACATTGTACTAATTCTTCGCAATCTTCGAGACATTCTTGTGACCAGTAGAGTGACAAAACACAAGCAACATATTGCTCATAATAGTTTTGATCGATAATTATGCGTTCAACACACGTTTCTTTGAAAGTCGTTTGACATGCTCCACATTTGAGCGGATAGTTGAGTGTCGGCTGAGCAAAAAGCATGCCAATCATTGTGCTAATGCAGTCCGAACAAGTCACTTTGCGACATTTGTCATTGATGCATATCAAGTGGTTATCAGTCACGGTAATATTCGATTCGCATATTCCACAGCTGAGCTTGTTTTCTTGCGGTGATGGTATTTCCATCGCTGGTGTTGGTTGCACAGTAGACTCTGTATTGTTGTTCTGTACAGACATAGTGTTAGCATAGAAAAAAAGTGAATCACAAATCTATTAGTGAATAATGACAGTAAACCTGGCAAGACCAAGGTATTGATAATGTGTTGAAGTCACAGTGACTATAAATACCGATAGAATTAACGCTGATTTCATCATCGGCTTTTCTTTGATACGCTGTTATAACTGGGGAATCCTTTGTGGTCGCAAAAAAATGATGTAAGCAACATTTCGATAATGACATGCTACTCATGCAGTATTTCGATAGAATGACGCAATTACAAGGGAACTTTTCTCATTTCTTACTTCTTATCTATGTGTCACGTCATGACTGTAGCGTCATCGAATGCGCCATAATGAAGAAAGAAAAGAACTGTTGAAAATACGAACGACATCATCTTTTCGAGTCAATGAAAAAAGTATTTCGACAAGTGTGATTTATTTCATTATGCGCGATACACTATCAATTCCATATGTTTGGAAGTGAGATCGAGCTTGAGAACACATAAAATGATGGATGTTTTCATACCACGTTTTTCCAGTTTTTCTCGAAACACTACAGAATACATCATATTCCGATACCTGAGTAACGAAGAAAACTACATTGCAATATTTTAAAAATTCGACATTTCATCGGATTAGATCAGAACTGATTTAGTCTCGGCGCCAATAGGAAAGAAGCATCAACTATTTTGAAAAATTGATGAAATCTTTTGAAAAACTCTACAGTTCCACTCCTAGTTCCCATGATCAACAGATAAGTGCTTCTTACCAAGCATTCGATGAGTTGGATGGTATCTATGATTCATCTTTTCATCAGTTCTACTTTGAAGATAAGAATGAAATGCGTGAGTAAGTGAAGTTTTCGTTTTATTTAACTCCGTTCAAAAAAAAATAATTCATAAAACTGCGGACTTGCTGTTAGAAAAACTTTAAAATACTATAGCAAATATAGATTGCCATGCCACATACAACTCGAACATCAATCTTTTCATCTAATTGAGAACAGGTAAAGAGTCGTGGAATGAATATGAGCAACACATCAAACAATAGACGCATGAATGATTCTTCTCGGGTATTGTTGGAGCGTAGGTGTGGATGTCTGTGAAGAGAAGATCTACAACCACACTCACACTTGAAAACATTCCTGTTCTTGCTTTCATCATCTTTACGAATAATCGGGAGAGTGAGTCCTTCAGTAGGAAGAAAATTCTATCTCATATCACGTGCATAGCTCTCTTAAAATAGAAGGGTGTGGGTGTGTGTCGGTATGTGGGTGTGGGTGTGTATGTGTGTGGGTATGTGTGTGTGGGTGTGAGTGTGTGTGTGGGGTGTGGGTGTCTATGAATGATATTAACACGCCCCCACACCCACCCACCCACACCCACACCCTACTCTAAGAGTAAATTGAATCCTTCAATAATTCAATCCAAAATATTAATAGAATTTAAAGAGTATTGAATAAACAATATATCTAGTGAAAAAAAAAGCTTTTGTAATATATATATAGTTAATTATTTGGGGTATAAAAGTGTTCAGAAATAATGAAAAATGATTTGATTCTTTTCGAATAATAATTTCAATAATGATGAAAATTTCATCGACAAAATATTTAATATATTGGTTAATGAACACATTATTTTGCTTGATTACATGGAAAATATTTTATTTCAATTCTATTAAAGGTTCATCGAAATTTGTATGTAATTTAATTGAAAATGATAAATAAATTTTGTCTAAAATCGGATTGATTAAACAAATTTAAAAATATATCACTTTTCGAAACATTCATTTCGAAGTTTAATTTATATGGTTATGGTATTTTTTTATCTTTGTTTAATTCATATTGGAAATTTTAATAATAAAATAAAAAAATTTTAAAAACACTAAATAAATGATGAATTTAATGAAGAAGAACTTGATGATGATATTTTTCAAGAAAGAATTCGTTTAATATGAAAATGAGATTATTTAAATGATTCACTTACTTGTATTAACATTAACAAAAACAAAATATACCGGAAAAAAGATAATCTAGCTCTTAATCATCTTGCCGAGTTTAACAATAATAGTAGTTTCAATTTTTCGGATTTAATAGAGTTGGTCTAACCTTCTTATTTTTAATTAAATAATAAATTACTTTTCTTTTGTTATTGACAACATGTAAAACATTTTGTTCAAATTAATTATTGGTGGAGAAAATCTTACTAATAGTTTTACTTCTATAAATGACAAAACAGATCGAAAATTCTTTGAAAGAATTGGTCGAGTCATCAGATATTATCTTCAATATGATCATATTATCGATAAGTTAATTTTAGAAGATTATTTCTATGTATTTAGATGTTTACGTATATTTATGAAACATAAACTTACACAAATAATTCAAAGTGCTTCATTATTATTTTTATTTGATTTATTTATTAAATAATTTTAAGTAAAGGAATTATTAGGAGAATACATGATGCTTTCGTTTGTATTAGTTTATTTTTATATGTCATTTGTCTAATTTGATTTTGAATACAAATCAAAACTTGAATATTTCATACGAATTTCAAACAATAAAAGCATAAAATTTTGCTGAATTATAAGTAACGTCGTAAATTATAAAGAAATTTCTATGAGCAACTAAGATGTATACCTACTCTCGAAAGAATAACTAAGAGACAAAGTCAGATTAGTAACTTTAACTGATCTTTGTTAATGTATATATGTTATAACTAAAATTCTTATATAACGGTAGTCTCTCTTTGATGTGAACGTGAGTGGGTGTAAACTTTAGTGCTATGGAAAATCATATCCACACCTACGCTCAACTTCATGCACCTCTGCTTTACCTATCATAAACCATGAGCATAATATGGCTGTTAACCCTATTTTTTCTCTCCTTCAGAACAAATGATATGATCTGGGTAAATAGGAAAAAGTCTGACAGGAAAAGGCGCGCTCTGAACGATATTGTAGATGAAATGTTTCGCAAAGGCAGTTCAAAATCATTTCCAAGAATTTTCTCAATCTCTAGTAGTTCCTGCTCAACGAGCGATTGACGTTAAATATAATCATGCATTAAAAAATCAAAATCCACTGGATACATCTCGGTAACTTTGATTGAAATTATCTCGTTTGAAAGTTGCTTGTTCCTATGGAAAAAGTCTGAGATCTGATGCAAATCTGTTTTCGTTTTGCAACAGCTACAGTACCTATTTTTTCGCAAATAGATTTCATAAAATCTCGATGACATGATATTTGAAAGAGGTTCTCATTGTGATTTTATTTCAAATGGAAATACTACTCTACACAGGATGTAATAATTAGAAAAATCATGACAAAGTCATCCATGTTGCCAGATACGTTCGAAGAATGTTGGCTGTCGATTGATAGGATGGCTTTCCAATGCTGTAATTTCCTCATCGGTCAAGCGCCATCCCAAACACTCGGCATTTTGTTCCGCTTGGTTTCCGTCTTTAGCTCCGCCAAGCGGAATCACGCCTGAAAATAAAGCATTCATTATATAGTACAGATCCAAACATCATGTTTTTAAGTTTTTCTCTTCAATGATCAAGATAAATGAACAAATAGTTCTCAATTTTTATCTTTTGATAAAATGAAGAAAAAAGTTAATAGTTTTTCTATCATCTGAAAAACATGCATTCTGAATTGTAATCAGTATAAAATTTAAGGTAGCACAAATTGGAAGCACGAAACAATTATTCTTCAAGAAATATCAGCTCAAATGGTTGAAAAATCTTTGGATAGCAGTCTCGAATTTCCATGAAACTCATTTATCGAACATGAGCTGATGTGATGATAATTAGAGAATGTCAATGGCGTTCCAATTAGATATATCCTGCTCAATTGATACAAAAGAGACATTATGCTTTGTTGAAAAGATACAATGTCCTTAAGAAAATAAACACACTAATATTCATGCAAAAATGAAAGCTAGATTGAATACCTTTACATATCACGTAATTGAGAGCAATGGACGAAACGCTAACATTGCGTTTGACAGCAATGCTTCGCATTGTTTCTAGTAATGGTTCCAATTCATCCATGTTGATATTCGAACACTTACGATTTGCAGGAGGTGGATTTGTTTTCGAATATTTACCTGTCAAACCACCCATGGCCTAATTATTACGAGACAAAATATGCACACGAATATAGCAGTGAGTATGGATCAGAAAAGTAATTCTTTAACTTACAAGTGGACAATATCCCAGAACAGCAACACCTCGTTTGTGACATTCAGCAATATGGCCAGATGTCTCCGGCAATCGTCGAATAAGCGAATATTCGACTTGATTCGATGCAAGCTGAATGCCATGCTTTTGTAAACAATCATACATTCTGATCATTTCTGCTGTTGAATAATTCGAAATGCCAACCGTCTTGGTGAGACCAAGTTTGACAGCTTCAGCTAGTGCATCACCAACAACTTCAATGGAACGAAGATGAATGGGACCATGAATTTGATAAAGATCAACGCATTCAACCTAAAACAGAACAAAGAATTGAAATCATTTTCTCAAGTGGTAAGTTTCTGAAAAACAAAGCTATTTCGCTTATTTTTCGGGAAAATCTGATTGCTTTCTAATTTTCGGAGGTTTCAAAAGAAAATCCCTATGAGCTTTAGATTTTTTGATTCAGCAACAGACATTCTTGTATAGAATGAAATCTTCAAACAGGTTTTGTTTTACTGTTTAACAAAGCACTACAATATATAGCTTTATTTTCAGAACAAATACAGATTGAATGTGAATATTCGAAAGTGAAGGTCCTCTGCCTTTTTTTCTTGCATAGATATCTATGAAAACAACATGAATAAAATACATGCTTCACATACAATGTCCTTGTAAATATGTTCTTATTAATATCATTATGAAGTAAGAATGACTAGATGGCATCGCTATTCTCTTTGGAAAAAGACTGCATCAACTACTCTTATTCTTCTTCATTAAGTTTCCTTTACATTCAATATTGTCAATCGTTTTTTTTTGAAAATTCGTTTTCATGGAATACATTCATTTCATGACCGATCAATTCACACTGATAAATACATATGATCTCAGTGACAATGGCCGAAGCAGACTATCAATTTATTCGTGTAAATTTTGCTTCCGCTGAACGAAGAGTCAATGAGGACCAGAATATAGTATGAAATTGATCATTCTCACTATTTTTCTGTTTCTTACGCTGAACAATCTCTGATAAATTCATGAGCAAATAGTGATATTCTACAGCACACCTAACAAGTTCAATTTTTTTTTCTCCAATGAAAATCGGAATAATGTAAAATTCACCTTATTTTGATCTAGTAATTCAAGAAAAAACTCGACATAAAGCATTTTGATTAAAAAATATTGGTTGGCAAACAAAAAAAAATAGAGACGATCCTCAATAGTCACTTTGAAAGCAGTAAAAATTTCCACTGCTACCCCATAATTAGTATCCTGCTGGCACTTCTTTTTCTCTTACCAAATGGCAAAAATGCTGAAAAGCAATTCTTCAGAACGGTTAATAAACGAATGTTTCTGTCGTATTACGAGCTTCACAAATTGATAATAGAAAGAATACTATTTAGCTTTTGCAGCGAAACAATAACTGATTTTTATATTTTCAGAATAGATTGTGAAGATACGTTATTTTCTTTTTCCTTTTTAGAAAAGGTTTGGTGTGCGATTATGGTCGCTTAAAACGTCGTCGAATAAAATCGCAAATTCGATAAAATAGGTAACTTGATTTGAGTAGCCTGAAAACTGTATTACCTTTAATCTTGCAAGACTTTCTCGAAGAGCATTAATGAGCGAAGACGGATAGAATAACTTGAAAGGAGTAGGAAAAAACTTCGTAGCAATCACAATTTCTGCAGCAGTTGGATGATTTTCTTTGTAGCGTGCAATACAACGTTCACTAGACATCAAGAATTTTCATTGTTAACCTCAAAGATCACGTTTTCTGGTTACCTTTCGCCATTGCCATAAATTTCAGCTGTATCAAACGTGTTGATTCCCTTGGACATCGAAATATCAAAAGCATCCTTGGCTTTTGGATCTGATTCAGAAGTCCAATTCCAAGTATTTGTATCACCCCAGGCCCAAGTACCCAGCACTATTCGAGTAAGCATATGCTAGCATAGATTGATATGCAAAATATTGTACTTACCGAGAGGAGAAACCGAAATACGATTTGCAAGCTTGATTCTTGTTTCAGCAGTTGGAATAACATCAACAGGTAGATAAACATTGTGAACAAAAGTAGAAGAGGTAGCCATGATCTCTGTATGAGATAAAGAGAAAAAATGAGACATTTCTTGAAAATATTATACGTTCTCACAGTAAAACATTACAGCTTACGTCTGTCAGATAAAGCTATCAGTACAGGAGAATACGTGATTCACCTTGATTGTGAAAAAGACTGATGTATTTAGCAAAAGAAACATCCATATAACTAAAACAATATTATCTGAAATTGGACGATCGAGGTACGAACATGATCATCATTGAAGCTGAAATATTTTGCCAAGTTCGATTTTTAACTTCATAGATAGAGATCAAGGTTGTTTTGAAACAAAGTGCTTAAGTTTCATTTTATCAAAAACTTCAGAAAGGCAATGCTGAGATAGTCTACTTCGAATTCAATGCTGTTATTTTAGAATTTTGAAGTATAAAATTACTTTTATAATCTCTTTCAAGCTTTTAAGGAAGTTCTACTTTAATAGGTATCGACACACTGTATTCACACGACGGTAGTCAATAACTTTTGAAATATTCGTTGCAGAATTATAGTCCGTTCAACAATGTTCAGACTATTAAAAAAACAGGAAATATTAAGTATATGCTTTGCATCAGTTTCATTACTTCTGTAATTTTTATAATTTGTGAAGATTCCCATGACTCTGAAATATCCTGAATTCTGAACATACCGAAGTCTCTTGATTTTTCCTTGTCTTGGTAATATCTACGTCTGAAATGTCAATGGCCATATTTCGATGACACACATCAGTGATTTACAATTTTCTCACTGTATGATATATTTGCAAGCAGTCAAAGAAAGTTACATGTAAGTAACTGCAATTAGACAACGTTTGCAATGTTGCCGCGTGATTGAAATCAATGAAAAACGATGCATATAGATAATTATATGGCAGTTATGGTCATCAAGTCAAATTTATTTTTCAAGCGTATTGATTTTGAGAGTAATTTTGGGCGAGAAACTTCACGGTGACTGCGTATACATCATTGATAAAGCATTTATATTGAACGAAATGCGATCAATCATTGAAAATTATAAAATGGTGATTTTGTTTTTACATTTAAGTATCAGTAGCGAATTGAAATTGTTATCAGTGAAAGAAATAAGTTTAAGGATTAACTTAGTAGAAGAAAAGTAAGTATAAACACAGAAAAGCTACAGAGGAAATAAGAGGAAATCCAAAAGAACATTACATAAAAATTCAAAGAATGAATGAAAAAAAAGAAAATGATAATTCAATGATTGTACTAGCAAAGTAGATTGAGGGTTAGCTGGTTTATCTCTTGCTTTTCTCACGATCGGTACTGCTCTTTGCTGCAGCCGGTTGCTTGCAATATTTCAAGCGAATAGCCATGCCGAAAATATATTCACCAGATGTCAAATATTTTTCTGAATTGATAAAAAGTTGTCCACTTCTTATTTGTATATTTATTTGAATCGACGTGTGCAATCGATTGTAAATCACGAACTGATGTATAACATGTTTTTGGAAAATCATTGGAAGTACTAATTATAATTTTTGTTGATTTGGTCTACTAATATGATAAAGTCTATAATTGCAAAGATTTTGTTGATTCTCTAGCAAATATTTTGCGTTAATTGAGAAAAAACTTCGTTCAATTGACTAATTAATGACAATATTTGAAACTTGTTGTCAAAAATCTTGATCAAATATAATGTTCTGTAAATGCTGCGTCAGTGTTAATTATTTTATTGGTTATTTTTTTTCCTGTTGTTCATATTCGATTTCTTCATAAATAATGTTGGTCCTAATATGCATACAATTGTAGAATTGGATAATGAAAGCATTCCAATATAAAATTTAATTGAATTTGCTGATTTTGAAGCAATTATATCAACAAACTTAATTATTTTAAAACTGACCATTTAAATAATTTACTGATCATTCATTTGTTTTACTGGCCACTTGAATAATAGTGAAAAGAAAACTATACTTATTCTTCGGTGGTTATCGTTAACGATGTGATTGTGCTTGAAATATAAACATCTATTGAAATCAGGAACCACGGTTGAGTTGTACTGAATTAGAAATCACTAGGACAGTGTCTAGAAAATATTGGTCCCTTAAAGTAATGACTTTTGCTTTTCCACATTGAGATTATTCAAACATCGTTCACTGATTATGGAAGACATGGCATCGACCTGAAATGAACAACAGGACAATATAATTAGCATTTTCATTTTCTCAAAGATACAGACAGAAAAATGTGATATATGTGTGGGTCTGAAGTGTGCTTATTTTTACTGGCGGGAATGTGTATGACGTGTGCCTATTGTTATGTGATTGTGCTTGTCTGAGATTCGATTATCGTTATGTGAGTGTAGGTATGTATTGGTTAGTGACTTGAGACAAGGCAATCACACCCACAGCCAAACCCTGTGTCATGTATAGAATTGAAAATGCATTCGGTTGAGTAAAAATTTAAAGGTTTTTTCTCTAAGCAAACAGCTGAAAACCTATAAAAACATTTTTTTCCCGGCTCATCGCCTTATAGTTTTAGTAATTCAGCTAAAGGCTCGCATAATGAACTATGTGAACTGTAAAATCTAGCGGCTCGGATGCAACTCAATGAGCACTATCGATTTGTATGATTCGCCAAACATTTATTCTAGAAGGTGTGTTAACTGAAAAATTCAGCGGGTCAAATAAAACTAAACAAGATCGATTGATTGGTGTCAGTTTCATGTACATATATGACTATTCAGTTATAATGATCAAGTTGAGGACCGAAACACAAATTACGGTACTGAAAGCGATATGAACTGAGAGATCTCATTCAGTTTTGCCTGGCACGACGTGTCTGAAAAGTGGCACATGTTTCACCAAGAAAAATTGGTACCAATCGATAATGGTCGCCGACTTGTATCTAATCCGCAAGATTTTATTATTAACACAGTTTGTGGTACGAATTTTTGACCTAACTACTTGAATTTTGAGGTAATCAGCATAAAAAGACGAGGTGACCAGGTATTCGGCTATTTTCTTCGAGAAAAGGTCTTTAAAAATATACAGCATCGATTGCATTTTTAATTCTGTAGTTGATACAGCCAAGAGATTTTTCGTCATAAGCCAGGAAATGAACTTTTGGTCGAGATACTTGAATTCATCGGTAGTATGACTTGTATTTCGTCAATTCAACTCTGAGTTCTCCATGAAGTCTGATTAATTATACGCTAGTTGATAGAGTTGTCGAATTGATGGACACACAGTTAAATTGAAGTGTGGCACAACGATCAGTGTAAATGTTAGACAGTACTATTTGACTTTCATTTATAGAATTTCAAGTACAGAATTTGTACAAATGAAGAGATCATTTACCTGATCGCAGCGCGTCCTAGTAGTCACCTGATATCTGCAAATCTTCGGATTAGAATTATCATATATAAACTTACACATTGTACCCTTATTGTAGTATTAGGACATCTCTCTTGAAAAACCATCATAGTGCCTATTATAGTGCTGTAAATACATGTTCAGCAATACATTGATTTGAGCTGAAACTGTCAAGTTATTCTTATCTTGCAGTCTATCGGCTGTGAAAATTTTACCCAAATCGGTAGATGTCAATTGATTTGAACGAAAATGATGCTTCTTTATGTAATGGATTCATTTAGAGAAATCGAATAACTTTGAGAAGTTATCGTCCAGTCAAACTTCGTGATCCCATACTAATGGTAACAGTTCCAATTAACGGTAAGCCTATGGTCGTTTTGAAAAACGTTTTAGCGGGTGTCACTCGGTTGAACAGTAGAAACATTTTCGTGAAGCGGATCAATCTCTTTAGCCTATAAATTATAGCATGCATACGAGTTAAAGTGTTAGTAGTGAGCAAATATCCAACGGCAAGAATACACATATTGCCGTTACCAATATGAAGGTTCGGCAAAATTTTCAGAAATGCTACCAATCCTAGTAAGGAAATGTCACCTAAATATGATCACCTGAGAATAGTTTAAGTTAGTAAGAAACCGTTTTTTCTTGATTTTCATTCAAAATCAATATCCGAGTCATAATGAATCCGATAAATTTTAAAAAATTAGTCTACGCAGCTAAAGAAATGCGTTCTATATATGAGAAATTCCTTTTTTACCTGAGTCTTGAAAGAAGGTTCAAATAAATAGAAAACACTCTTTTCTTTTAAACTTGGTCATGCTTACAGCAGAGCCCTTAAATCAAATCATAAGTTGATAGAGCTCGTCAACTTCTATAAAATAAACCAACGATTTTTTTGATACAGTCGTTCAACCAAATATTAGCCTAAAAGAGCTTTGTAATTTCAGGAAACGTGTATCTATTAGAAGTATTTCGAAAGGTCCTTTTAGACATTGGCCGATGAAATTTTTTCAAAGTGGTATTCTTCTATGGTACATTTAATTCTTTACAATCCGCAGTCATGAACTGACTGTATATACGTTATAGAATGAATGCTAACCGAAAACTCTCGAATATGCTATCAAGTTCCCAAAAACAAAAGAAAGCATCGGCATGATTTACAGATTGAATGGTAATGTTGCTGTTCGATTGCAGGCGAACCTAGTCACAATAGCAGTCATAAGCTAAAAATGAATTTAGTTGGGAGCAGAAGAAAAATCAGTTACACGCAATAGACATAATCTAGTCTAATCAATGTTTTACTCAGGTCTCTGAAGAATGATTGGAATATTCATCAACAGGAATAATAATATGAGGATTGGCTGTGCGCATCTTTCTTTTCAAGTAAAATGTGAAATGAACTAGTCGTGGTATGATAATTTTCAGAACTGTTATGAAACCTCCAATCAAATCGATCAATGTCGTGATAATGTAGATCGTATCATTTCTGGTCTTATGTGTATAGCTACACTCCACTGGATGACACTCATTAAAGTAGTCAGCATAGGCAGGTGACCAGTTCCAGTCTTCTACCATTAATTTGTCTAATAAATCAGTCACTGTACTATTTGTCAAGAATTGAGTGGGTGCCGATGCACTCATCACTGTCACATTTATTGGTGAACTGAATTGAAAGTATGATATCAGCTCATCGAAGCACGTTTGATTGTAGAAACATTCGAAACTTGATTGTAGCAATGCTTCTAATAGATAGCATCCAACATGCATACCCGGAACAGCATAAAGTATCTGGATGTTCAGCTCATCACATAGAACGGATTGTTCACTACAAGCTAAACTCGTTAAACATATACGATCACTATATTGCATCGCTGTTACGGTCAGGAATGTATTATTTGGTTCTTGTGTTACTAAAGCGTTTGATTGAATAGTTGATTGAAGGGCCTTGGCTTGGGTAGTGTCTCTAAAGATTCGCAATGATGATAAAAACTCATTGGTTGTAGAGAATTGAAATTGCATGACGAAGGATCGTGCTTGTGATTGAAACAGAAGTGATGGTATCACAGCGATGCTCAAGTATTGCGTGGCATAGAAGCGAGTCACACTATTCGTGATCGTAGTATTGACTACTTTGCACAACGAGTCGAGAGCTTGAAAAGTGAGTAAACTTATTACTTGAAAGTTGTTACTCCACGAATTCGAGTTCATCCATATCTGTCGAAGATAGTTTATTCAATATGGTGTAACAAAACTACTTGAACGCACTTGATGTAATGTGTAGTTGATACACAGAAACTTTTCATACTTAATCGATATTTGTGTACAAGGACAAGTGAGGGCTTGAGAATATTTATCGTACAAGTATAAATACTTGCTGAACATAGGTGCTTTGACAGTAACAGACTTAGTAACGGTAACTGTTGATGTGCAGAGAAGGAGAATAGTCATTGAGAGAATAAAAGATATAATGAAAAGTCGTGTAGAGATGATTTGATTTCTAAGTTCATGCTGATCAGTTGAAAGTAGAATAAATGCGAAAATATTGACGTTGTAAATATGTTGCAGATAATCACGAATAAGTATGCGAATCGATCAACGATTGATCGCTGCAACAAAGTTAACACCATAATTGAAGTCTTTAAAATCGATGAGTTGGTGACTTCAGGTCTGCGAAGAGCTTTATGGGCTTTATTTGCTGTTTCCAACTAATTACAGAAGTGTTTATCAGGGGGTCTTTGCATAAATTCTAAGGATAAAGCACAGAAACGTAGATTTGTCTGCTTGTCGGTCTGTAAAACAGTAAACACATAGCAACTATGATACTAATGAATATTTAGGTTAGCAAAAAACGACAACTATGAATTAGGATTCAAAATAGCCGAAGATTAGTAACAGATGATGAAGAATGCAAAGTTCGTATATACTTTCTATATCATCGCATACCACCGTGTTTCTTCGTATCATATATGGAAGAATACAACTGTCTTCGACAAGATATTGACTAAAGCGGAAGTCATTTACGAAATCTGGGAACCGAAGAGTTGAGCACGAGGAAAGTTAAGCACGAAAAAATAAATATCAACATATATATGAGCATAACAATCAGAGAGACATAAATGTATTGAAATAAGATCAAACACAAAATTATAAACATGAAAGATATCAATTTGCTTAAATTTATTCTAATCAGCAACACTTAATGAATAAAGAATAAAAAAATTAATCGCTAGTATAAAATAATGACGGAACATTTGTTTTCTCACATTGACAATTTTTCAACATGGCAACTATTTCTAATAATTGAACAACAAAACAAAAACCACGTTTAGATCTCGATGGTTAATCATATATAAAAGATTGATCTACTAATGAAAAAACGTACCGGCGTTGTATAAAATACTCGACAGATTTATGTCGTTCTCGGCTTCATACATGTGTTATTACGAATAATATTATTAAAACACCAATAGAACATACACGTAAATCTGATGGTATATCATTTGAACAACGAAAGTTTGATGAAAGAATTGCTCAACGTGCTCGTTTTACTCAAGAAACACCAGATTTTATTGTTACTGATTGTTACAGAGGTAAAAATACACAAATTATGGAAAAACCTTTTATTGATAAAAGTTGGTCTATGTATATATAGGTATGACTGATCAAGATATCTCTCGTTTATCTTCACGTGATAACATAAAACGTCGAATTAGAATGTTTCGTCAGAATAAACATGTTATAGCAGCACCAAATGATCCAAGTTTTGAATCTATTCCTACATCTTTAACCAAAACTGTTCGTCCAGATCAATTCTTGCGGTGTGACACTGGTCCAGATATGCATTTCAATGTATAAAGTATTATATTCTGCACTAGTTTTTTCTTATTTGTGTTTTCGAAGGTAATGACAGAATACTGATATTTGCAAGCACTGAAAAACTCGATATTTTACAATCAGCTAGTGATTTTCTTGTTGAAGCAACCTTTAAAGTCGTCCTGAAAATCTTTTATCAACTATATATAGTTCACATAATATATCGTGGTCATGTTGTACCTGTATTATATGCTTTATTACGACGAAAAGATGCTCCAACATATAAAAACTTGATTGATAGAGTACTTGAATTTGCTCCACATTGGACTCCTGATTCAATTATGCTTGATTTTTAGCAAGCGTGTATAGGTGTTTATAATACAAGTTTCCTTAATACTTCATTATCTGGTTGCTATTTTCACTTGCGACAAAATGTTTACCGAAAGCTGCAGGTAATTAAGTAATAGATAACCAACTCACTAGTTATATAATTATTATAAATTTTTGTATTTAGTCACTTGGCTATCAGAATAAATACAAAGATGATTCATTATTTCCTTATAATATACACAAAATAGCTGCATTAGCCTTTCTAAAGTCCGACGATGTTGTAAAGGGTTTTGAAGCTTTATCATTAGCTCTTGATGATGACGATTATCAAAGTATTGTTGATTACTTCGAGGAAACATATATCGGTAAGTGGTTTTGATCCTCAAAAACCAAAAATCTCACGTGTTAGTGTTTTAGGATGATTACGGGCTAATCTCACAAGACGAAAACCGACGTTCAGTATTGAATTATGGAATATGTACAACCGGACCACGCACTCCTTAATGAGAACAAATAATGCAGCTGAAGTCTATCATCGTCGAACTGGTTCAATATTCCAATGTGCTCATCCAACACTGTGAGTGTTTCTTCAGAAATTAATCGACGAAGAAAATGCTACACATGCTGATATCGTACAAATAAGAGCAGGACAACCTCCAAAAATTAAGAAAAATAGTCAACGTTTTGAAAAACGATTAATGAATGTTATCTCAACTCATCAAGATATTTTAACTTAAATTGATTCATTGGCACATAATATTTCATTGTAATTCATTGTTTATTATTAGTTTCTGATAGAAGTAAACACATTTCTACTACTTAGCCAATAAATGTATCTATATGCTGATATTCATTTTCTGTGCTTAACTTTCCGTCCTCTTTTGTTTATTTGTAAATAAAATGTTATTTATCTGTGCTCTATTGTTCATTTGCGTGTAATTCTTGTTTTTCGCAAACATTCTTTCACAAATAGTTATTCACGGAGTTTGTAAGAACTATTAACGTAATATAGAAACAGAAAAAACAAACAAAAAATCATTTTGCGCATAAGTGTTGTAAACGAAAATATCGACGCGGAAGTGTGTAACTATGTAAATGCTTTGTTTAATTATTTTCTGGTAAATTCGATGTGAATTATACATATCTACTGACATAGATCAATAAAAAAATGCATAAAAATTAATTAAATGCTGAATCTTTTTAAATGAATTCATGATACATTTCGAATCAATTAATTCGCGTTTCAAATTACTTTCTATACTAAAACTAATTTTATTGAGCAAAATATACTGAGCGCATAACTAAAAATATAGAGTCTTCATCATAAAATACTGAGCAATAAAATACAAGCCATATCTTTATGCTCTAATTCTGTTTTAGTTTAAAAACTAATTTTGATGATTTAAATTTAAAAATGTATAAATTAGTTCATTTCAGCTTGTTTTTTTAGTTAAAATTGTGCAATTTAAAATTGAAACAAATTTCAATTATAATGTGAAAAAAGAAACAAGTTTCTTTTATTTCAAATTACTTTTAGGTTTTTCTTGCTTTTACTTTTTTTTTAATATAAAATAATTCACCTATACGCCAGTGATGGGAAAAATTTTTTTGTAAAGATAGAAAGAATTTTTAATTGGTTCTGCTCTACTTTGTGTACCTAATTCTGTATTCTATTATACAACTTTTTATTCATAGTGAAATTTTAAAGAAACTGAGTAAAATTGTACTATAAAGCATGCTAGATTGTTTATTGGCAATTAGAAGTTGATTACTTGATCATATAGTTCAATTGGCTCGACTATTGGTAAGTGACATATTGTGCGCATGATCCAATCTAACCTTCTGCCTTATGCTTTTATCATTTAGACGAGTTCGGACTCGATCACACGTACGACTACAATTCACTTTATGCAACGTCGCGGACGCTCTTCTTTTTTATTTAAAATCGCTGCTGAACGTGCGTTAGGACGTGAGCTGTGGACTACAAACAATTTGAAACTAGTCATGTATTAGGACTTTTTGAGAAAAAGGCTAGACAAGAAGTATCGTCACGACTAGGAAAATGACCAGTCCTTTCACTCGTCCTTTACTCGTCTGGGTGGATAGACATTTTTTAATGATATATAGTTTTAGATGAGTCGATCTCATCATGTGGTATTCGCTTAAAGAGTCAATAAAGGTACTTAATGATCGTACAAGAATTCCCTGGCAAATTATTTTCCAATACACTTTTTTTATAGTATTAATGTCAAAGATTAGCCAAACGACTTGATAGACTATTAAATAAGAACTAAGAATGTGAAATTTATGTTCAAACTAAGTGACAAAAGAAATAGCAAAAGATGCGAATATTGTGTGCGCTGAATAAGATAATCTGGATGACTGACTCTGATCCAAGTACACTAAAAGACAAAGTATGTTGTATAAAAACAATAATCATCTTTCTCTCGACACCCTTTTGTATGATTCATCAGAAATAACCATACACAATCAAAATGCTTACCTAGAACTAGATCACTGAACATCAATGGATGCCAGTTGTTGTGTGCTGTCGTTTGTGGACAATATTCTGCAGTTCATCAAATGGACTTGTCGACGTAGGCAGAAAACTCATCTGGTGGCTGTGATTTTTCTGCCTACAAGTAGCGAACTAATATTGTGTGAGAACGTCATTCTTTGTTTTTATACATTTGAAAACACACAAAGAAGAGAAAATTAGAAAGCTTATATACTTTTTTTTTGGATGAAGGCATTTTCAATTTATCTCTCGATAACCAAGTGTCTTTTTGAAAGAAAGAATTAGAAAGATCTCAATGAAATTGCAGCTTGAAGTTCGCTGTGAATATATTCGTTCAAAAAAATGGGTATTAGCCGTTCGCAAATAACCATGAAAGGCCATGTTTTAATGAACAGAAAAGAAACTATCTAGTTTCAATGATATTTAGCAGTCAGACCTCGACTGGGTTCTTCATCTTTCAACAAAACTTACATGTTTTTTTTGCAATAGGTTTTTGGATAGCGAAGATTATTTTAGCTCAATGGCGGAAGTCAAAACATTCCAAAGAATATCGCTTCAATATGCACTTACAATTACGAAAATACTCAAGCACTTTCTGTGGTACGTTCATCAATAGGATTAAAGGACAAAAACAATACTAAAGACAATGTGTAAAATCACAATTTATGCATCAGCAATGACTCAATACTCGATTGTTCTGAATAAATGACTATTTAGAGAATAGTTCAGACAAGTTTATGCTACCTATGTCAAGTGTTGCTGCTCTCAAAAATCGTTGTGATGAATTTAAATTCCATTATCTTCAACATGTACTTATCAATCACTTACACTTCGTTCATGTTAAAGTTCAAAAAATCGAGTTGTTACGAACAGAGCACTGTTTTAACAACAGTGTATTACTTTTTTTTCCTCGATTAGATAAAGTTGAGAATACAATGGTATTGTTTAATGAGGCGTCGATCGGACTCAACTAGTGATTTTCAACATTAGGAGATAAAAAAATGCAATTCTTTCATCATAACGATGAGAAACTTCAAAATATAATATAAGGAAAAATTTGTGCATTACACACAGTGGGAAAAATCGGTCCTTTGAAGACTGTAGCAATTTGTTTGCAGGCTTCGTCTGCTGCTCGAATATCACTTAGTTTTCTTGCTGTTTCTTTCTCGTCAATTTTCTTCTGATGCCGAAGAACATATGCTCTTCGGAGATGAGAAAGAATAACGAGTGAAAGAGAAGAAGAAAAAAATTAAAATGAATACCAACTGAGAATTCAGATCTTCGTTTATAAGACAGAAACATGAAGATTAGGTAAACTTTGTTTTTTGCATAGATATTGGCAGCTCTCTTCCTTTCGATCTAAGGATATAAAAAATCAAATGTTCGTCTCATTTTTTTTCATACTGTTTCCTGACCTAATGAAACGAAGTAAAGACCAAACTTCCAATCAAAGTCAAAATGTAGATATCGTGGTGACATCTATAAGAAAATCGCTGATCAAATTTCAAGATGGATGTGACTGTGACGGTAGTAGTCGGATTATGATTGAGTTTAAGAATATGTGTGGAGTCTGTGTTTGAGATATGCCTTCGCTTCACTCTCGCACCAATCTCCAATCTCACTCATTCTAATATCTGTTGTCATAAAATATTAAATAGAGTTCTCTAAAATTTATGAAAATTTTCGGAAACATATAAAATACCTAGATCGTTGATTTCGGTCGTATCCGAAGACTTTCTGGCATGCTTCCCGTAGGATTCGCTCTATTTATCACAGGAACCCAATAGCGACAACTATCAACTTAGAGGCAGTATTACAGACACCAAAGCCAACATATAAAAAAAAATGAGTTAATTACACGACAGTGACACAATGTAATAGACGAATCAGCCAGGATCGTGCCGAAAAATCTCCCGAAACCGTAGAAAACTTAACGAAACAACAAAACAATCCGTACGAATCATTCGAACTATTCTGATAAAAGTGTCAAAAAAACCTCAGCAAACTCAACTATTCATTATAAACTTTCTAAATCCTCGCTACCCTAATCTCGAGTTCCTAACTTAGTAAGAGCAATATATCAGATTTCTCATGAAATCCATGACATACCGAAAAATCATAAAATTCTATGCAAGCCTTTTTTGGAGAAAACCGCAAAGCCTGAGAATAATCACATTTTCCAAGAGGAAATCTA